GCAGAAGATGGACACCGGAGGCTCACCAGGGGGCCCAGGAGACAAGGGGCGCGCCCAGTAGGGGGGGGGACGCCCCCACTCTCCTGGCCAAGGTGTGGGCCCCCTGATGTATTTCTTCCGCTCTATAATTCTTATTAGTTCCAAAAACATGTTTCGTGGAGTTTCAGGATTTTTGTAGCAGTGCAGAATAGGTTTCCAACGTTTGCTCCTTTTCCAGCCAGAATTCTAGCTGCCGGCATTCCCCCTCTTCATGGTAAACCTTGTAAAATAAGATAGAATAGCCATAAGTATTAAGATATAATGTGTAATAACAGCCCATAATGCAATAAATATTGATATAAAAGCATGATGCAAAATGGACGTATCAAGTGCCCATAACTGTTCCCGCATAGTTGGTTAGTGCGTATAGGCCAGTGGCCAGACTCAGATCAAATACCAAGATCTCGTTAAGCGTGTTATTTTGAAGTAACCGCAGACGCCGACCAGGGCTAGGCCCACCTCTCGCCTAGGTGGTCTCAACCTGCCCTGTCGCTCTGCCACAAAGTAACAGTTGGGGGCCGTCGGGAACCCGGACCCACCTCTACCGGGATGGAGCCACCTGTCCTTTCAGCCCCCATATCTGAATCACTTGTGGGTACTCAACGAGCCGACCCAACTTTAGTCACCATCAGTATAGTATGTATATATGTAAAGTATATACCCGTGATCACCTCCCGAGTGATGACGGCCTGATAGTATGGCGAGGCAGACTGACAAGAATGCAGGGCCACTAATGATAAACTAGCATCCTATACTAAGCATTTAGGATTGCGGGTAAGGTACCAACAACTATAGCAACAATGACAGGCTATGCAACAGAATAGGATTAACCAAACAGTAACATGCTACACTACTCTAATGCAAGTAGTAGAGAGAAGAATAGGCAATATCTGGTGATCAAGGGGGGGCTTGCCTGGTTGCTCTGGCAAGAAGGAGGGGTCGTCAACACCGTAGTCGTACTGGGTAGCAGCGGCGTCGGTCTCGGTGTCTAGCGAGACAAGAGGGGGAAGAAACAATAAATATAATGCAAACAAATGCATGACAATGAGAGGTGCCAGGTGTGCCCTAACAAAATAGGAGGTGATACCGGCGAAGGGGGGAAACATCCAGGAAAGTATTCCCGATGTTTCACGTTTTCGGACAGTTGAACCGGAGGGAGAAAGTTGTGTGTTTGCTATGCTAGGGATGTGTGGCGGACGAACGTGCTACGTATTCAGATTCGTCTCGTCGCTCTGAGCAACTTTCATGTACAAAGTTTCTTCGTCTGATAAACAGTTTAATTTATATTATTTATCAAACTTTTAATTCAACTTTTATAATTAACATAATTAAATTAATTGTAAAATGTAATTAGGATGTCAGCGTGATGTTAGCATGATGTCCTCAGTCAACCGTCTGTTGACTGGGTCAACAGACGTGTGGGTCCCGTTCGTCATAGTCTCAGAGTAATTAAACAGGGTTAATTAGCTTTAACTAAATGATTAGGTTAACTAATTTCAATTAGCTTAGTTAAACAAAATTACTTAACTAAACAAATTAATTAAGTTAATTAACTAATCAGTCAGTATTAATATTTTTATTCTTTTTTTAACGTTCTGGGGGCGTGCGGCCGCCTAGTCATAGGCCCAGGGGGCCTTAGCGGGTAACATGCAAATGGTTGCGGGAGCATGCCCGAGGGAGCGTGGCGGTGCGAGGCTACCGGGGCGCGGCGGCAGATCGAGGCTGCGGCGCGGCAGCGCCGACGCGAGACGGCAGTGGAAGAGGCGGGGAGGCGGCGGGCGGCCAAGGACGTGGCCGGAGGCGGGAACCGGACCGGGCGGCGGCGACGAGCAGGCTGGTGCGAGGCCGCGGTTGACGGTGTTGGCCGGTGAGCAGCGGTAGCGGGGTGGAGGGGAACCAGCGGCGCAGCAAGCAGCAGGGCTCGGGGGGGCGGCCGGAGCTCAGCGGGGGAGCGGAGGGCCGCGGTGAAGGGCACGCATGAGCTGTGGTTAACGCAGCGAGGACGGCGAGCATGGGCAAGGGGAGGTGAAGGCGCACGCGGGCTACAACAGGAGGGCGTGAGCGAGGCCACGGCGTGTGGCGCAGCAACGACGAGGCGGGGCGCGCGCGGAGGGATGGGAGCGCGGCATGGCGTGTACGGCACGGGCGAAGCGCGAGAAACGCGCGGCTATGGGCGCGATCGTGGACGTGCACGGACGGGGGTGGGCGCATCACGGGGTGGCCGTGCAGGGCGGACGGCGCGAGTGTGGTGGTCGGCGGGCAGAGGGAGAGACGGAGGGGGTTCCTCACCCTACGTTGCAGGTGATCGGGCGGCGAGGGTCGATGGTGCTCGTTGGGGAGGAGGATGGGGACGAGCAACGAAGACGGGGAGCGGTCCGGCGATGATGTGGCCGGGCGTCAAGGATCGGCGATGAAGAGGATGGCGGCGACGGCGTAGACGAGCGGTGAGGGACCCCAACGAGCAGTGTCAAGGGCGATGGGGAACAACGTCGGAGGGGGGGGTCATCCCGGATCCAGATCTGGATCAGGAGAGGAGGGGAGGGACGTGGGGAGCGAGTGGAGAGGAGTGGGTGCGATGGGCTAGGGTTTTCCTAACCGGGTGGGGGGATATGGAGAGGAGTGAGGTGCCGACTGGGCTGACGGGCTGGTTGGGTAGGATGTGCCGAGGCCCATGGGGAGCCGGGGGGGGGGTTCTTTTGTTTTCTGTTTTGTTCTTTTCTTTTTATTTATTTTCTTTCTTTACCGTTTTCTCTAATTTTCAATATACTTTAGTTTTAGTAAAATACCAAGGTTGTACCTAATTTAGTATATGTAAATATGCCACATACCGAACATTTTAGTTTTGATGTTTGAAAAGTTTTGATGTTTGTTAATAATCCAAATTTGAATTCGAAATGTTTTGAACTAACGCGAGATTAGTGACAGTAATCGTGGTGATGTGGCGTCTTTAGCAGAGGGTTGTTGTAGCTTAATTACCCGGGCATCACAATTCTCCTCCACTACAAGAAATCTTGTCCTGAGATTTAGGAGCGGTTGTAAGGGGGAAGGGATCTGGTTACGAAATTCTAACGATTCTTTTCGGTCATAGTTGCTCTTCTTGAAGAGGTCGATCCATTACATTGATGTCTCCATTCCTCTGCTTCAGGTCATCATGATGAAGTTGTCGTCCTTCCTTCAGGATCTTCACCGTACTTACGAAATGGTAAGAAGGGAAAACTCTATAAGGACGGATTCTAACAAGATCGAGCATCAGACGGTTAACTCAGGGGAAGAAGCATAAGTATCTCTCGAATTGAAACTTACGAAGATATCGAGAGCACAGTAAGAAGGTACGATGAGAAGTTTCAAACAAATAGGCAAGCGTTCGAAACCTAATCAGAAGGTGAAAGGGGTTCAGAGCAACGAGAATAAGTATTGCGTCTGATACCAGAATAGACCACTTGACAGGTGGCCCATGAGCTACATAAGAAGTCAAGTGCTTGGAATAACTTTGACAACAGGGTGTACAAGAGAGTCAGGTTTCGATCCTATGGAACTGTGGGTTATGGGCCCACCATGTGGGTTAAAAGTAGGAAGGGCGATGATATCTTGCATGATCATGTAAGCAAGGTATGTCAGAGGATAGTCTATCAGTTATGTCAGCAACAACATTAGTACAAAGGGCGAGGGACGAAGAGAACCATTTTCTTGCTCGTTGAATGAGGCGGACCAATAGGCAAAGTTCTCATCCATCGGTGGTTACCGAAATGTCATCAACAAAAGCAATAGGGTCTTACTAACAGGGTGGTATAACGAGGTGCTTACCTAAGTAGGGAATTATCACTTCTCAGCTAAGTCAGATTACAAGAAAGGTTAAACAAAAACAACGGAAAGGAAAATGTTTTTAAACACATATTTCAGGGGTATACCCTTCCCAAGGACAAGCAGAGCATGATATCCATAACAGGACATAACGTAGAAAAGTATTTAGGTAATGGGAGAGGAATTTCATGACATTACCCATACGAAGGTGTTTGGATAATTGATGACAAAATTTTAGCATTGTGCTTCAAATGTTCTTATTGAAGAGCGGAGTACCACAGACATTCTTCGAGATAGCATTGATATGGTCTTCAAGCAAGGTCGGACTTTGGATACATGAAAGATCCACCAGGAACAACTTGTAGAATAAGTCTTACAATTTCCTCATGGAAGAACGGCTAACCTTGTGAAAAAGGAAACTATAACAATAGGTCCACTGGCTAGGTGTGCTAGGCATGACATCACCTTACCGTGTCATATAAGAACCAATGTTATAACTCTTGAAAATATGTTCCAACCATTATATCTGGAGAGAATTCCTTATTTGGCCCTTTCTTAAATTTTGGTTCCCTTTTTGGCCCTAGTAAAAAAATTCTTCCTGTTCTGGCACTCAAATTTCAGTTTGTTCCCTATATGACATTTCCGTCAGTTTTGGCAACTAACACCGTTAAATCTGACATGAAAAGTCCTTTTTACCCTTGGTGTAGTTTGTGACCAAAATTGTGAACTGGAAGTCAAAAGCAATGGTGATGTGATCTGTTTGTCTTGAATACATTACCAAATGAAACCAAATCTGCTATTTAGCACATCTTTAATTTTAATTGGATAATTGGACAGAACCTCCCTTGTATTTTGATGATATATCCCCTGTACAGTTCATATATGCACAAATTATAATATACTTGGAGTAGATTCACATGTATGCAAACTAAAAGTTCATAGAAACTTGGTCCAGGTTCACATATACGCAAACACTCCACATATTTAGTCCTCTACACACATTCAGGTTCACATATAATAGTCTAGGTTCACATCATGTCAAATACAACACATGAAGGTCACATATAGCACGTACAAAAGCCCAGGTTCACATATAGATTACATAGACAGCTCAAAAGTTTCCAAAATGAATCATGATATAGAAAGGGATCCAATGAGAATCACAAGCAAAGTCTCCTTTTGCTTCGTGTGCTCATTGCAGGGCTGGCAGGATTCATTTTTTTGCTTCGTGTGCCCATTGTAGGGCTGTCATGTGGCACCATGGGAAGGTGTGGCAACTTATCAGCAACCTCTTTGCTTTTTCTTTTGGCATGTAATTTCAAAGCAACAGATGCTTTCTTGTTGGCCACACAAATGGGCTGAGTTCTTGATCTACACATACACATTCATGGCAGCACATCACACATCACATATAGTAGCCCAGGTTAACAATAGAACAATGCATAAGATAACATAAAATTCGGAAACAACCATAAGTTACCTTTTTGCTACTCCGGATCCAGATTTACTCCCTTTCCCTTTTTCCTTAGTTGTTTTCTCCAACATTTGGCTATAGTGAGAAAAATGCAATTAGAATACAAAACCAAGCTTTCATCTAATCTACTACAAAATTCAGAACTAGTTCTTACCTTTTTGATGCTCCAGTAATTGAGTTATCATGTTTTCTCTTTTTCGTAGTTGTAGGTTCCAAGCTTTGGCTATGGTGAGAAGTTACTTAGAATCTGAACACAGATTTCATATAATTATGAGCATGAGTGTAAAGTGGCTAACCTTGGCGGAAAGCACATAGAGGCTGCTGGAGCATCATCCTCGCAAGGCACAATTGATGCTTTGGTGGTCTTTGCCCTCTTCTTTGGTCGTCCTCTACATGAGCAACAAAAAAGTAGTTAACATGTATGTCTGCTTACAAAAAAATGCAAGCGAAGCAAGTTACACAATTAAATTTATTACCTCACAGCTAAAATAGCAGCAATGTCATCTGGGTTACCCTTCTTGCATTTATGCCAATGATGCCCATAGTCCTTACAAATAGGGCATAAGTGTTGGCCGCTTTTTCTTTTCTTCTCACTGCAGCCTTTATACCTCTCAGTTTTATGCCTACCCGCCGTGGATTTTAGTAGTGGTGGAAACATGAAGAATCCATGGTCAGATTTAGGCCATTGGTTCTTGTCAACCATGGCAGGAATTAGTTGGTCATAGGCTGCTCTAAATTTGTCAATGGAGTAATACAAGTCCACATAATTCTGTATGTGTGCATTGATAAGAGATGTGATAAATGCTAGACCATGCTTGCAAGGAAGGCCAGAAACTTGCCATTGTCTACAAGAACATGTCCTGTCAAGCAAGTTGACCACAAACCTAAAGCCGCCGCCTCCCAATGTTGTCACTTCAGCGACTTCTTCTGAGCTTTATACCACCTCCAAGTTTAATTCTCTAGTCTTTGCATTCAACTTCTTAATTATGTGGGGAAGAATCAACCCAACCAACTTCCTTGCTACTTTCCTCCTTCGGTTCCACATGATCATAATCATCTTCCTAACCTTATCAAAGAAGTCGTCCAAGTTCAAGGACTTGTGATGCTTAATCCAATTATTGAAGCACTCAGCCAAGTTGTTTGTAACATAATCCACCTTGCAAATTGTTGAGAACTGACTCCTAGACCACAACCTAGTGTGCCACCTCCTAAGATATGCAGTTGCTGTTGGCTTTGCTAGGTCCATTGCAGCCCAATTTTTTTCAAATATATATGGGTTCCATGAGTAAGCAGCAGCCCAAAGGTGGTCATCAAACACCTTTCCATAAAACTTCTTCTTGAAGTTGGACACCAAGTGAAACATACATTCCCTATGTTCAGCCTCTGGGAACACTTCTTTTACACCTGTCATCACTGGTTGCCCAGCGTCGATGCATATGGTTAAACCCCTTGGGGATCCTATGGCTTGTCTAACCATTTGCATGAACCAGATCCAATTCTCATTAGTTTCAGAACCGAAAACACCCATACAAACTGCATACATCCAACTATGGCCATCAACGGCGGTAGCACTAGCCAGCTGCCCCTTGAACCTGCCTGTCAAGGAGGTGCTATCTACTGCCAAGTATGGCCTGCAGCCATTAAGGAACCCATCGATGCAAGGCTTCAAAGCAACAAAAATTCTTTTAAATCTGATTTTATCTTTTATTGTGTGATGATCAATGATCACTATGCTACCGGGGCAGCAACTTTCAATTTGCGCCTTGAAACTATACAGATTATCAAAGCTTGTATCCCAATCACCATATAGTTCCTTCAAGGCTAGCAACTTACCCATATAGACTCTCTTAGAGTTGATGTCGATTCCATGATGCTCTTTAAGCTTCTTTCGCAATGCCTTTGGTCCTAGAGTTGCATCCTCAATTAGCCAGTCCTTCACGTGCTCACATATCCACCGCTTGTTTGCATTCTTCAACTTCTTTTTTCTTTTTGTACTAGATCAATCATGACCACAAGGGTTCTTCACCTACAAAAGATGAACATAGAAAATTAGTACTAGAGTAAAGACCATGACCACAAATTAAGCACACATGAGTAAAGTTAGAAAATTACCATTACTGTGCACTCATCTTCCATTGTAGAAGCATATATTCTCCATGGACACTTATCTTCATCCCTTCTTGAACAATAAGCTCTGAACCTATGTGGTGCACTCTTTTCGGTGTCGAACTCAAATTCATATTTGATTGCATGCTGAGAAAGCGCCAATTTAAACTCTGCCATATTGGGATATTTTCTTCCTTCGTTCATTGGAGGATCTAATTTATTATATTCAATGTGTGGTGCATGATCTGCCTCGTGATATTCCTCATCTTCCTCTACTTCAACCTCTGACATGCTCTCATCCTCGCTCTCATCCTCGCTCTCAACCTCGCTCTCATGATCAGGAACATAGTCTTTGTCCTTTTCTTTATTGGAACAAGGAACCATGATAAGAGGTACAGGTTCATCCTCTAAATAAATATTTTCCTCATCAACACCAACATGCTCATTCTCAGGTACTGGGTTGCGAAGATAATCATCATCATCTTGTTCTATGTTGTTAGGTTGGCTATGCACATCACTATGCCATTCCGTTATAGGCTCATATGGTTCCGATGGATCACAATATGCAACAAACATGTGCACAACCTTTGTCTTAGAGTGTTTCTCAAACATCGACATCAATTCTTGGTCAGATGTTACTTCAGGGTAGATTTTAAGAAGATCATCATAGTACTGAACATGTGCAACTTCCAAATAATGAGGCGAGTACTGCTCTACGATTGATTCAACCAAGTCCTTATAATTTGTTAAGTCGGAATCAATAACCTTATCAAAACAGAAGCATTTGATATCCTTTCTAGCCTTTTTTGGGTTGCCAATCAAACTGATTTTCAGCACATAAGTTGAATTTTGATCCATCCTGTAAAAACCAAATAAACTTAATCATGAGTTGAATTTGGGATCCATCTCTAAATTCAGATTTTGCAGCAAATATCCAAGTAATCTGTTGCATTTCGACAAATCTAGAAGAGAGGTGCAGCAAATATGTTGCATTTGGGATCCATCTCTAAGTAATCTTCAAGGCCATCTCTAAGTAATCTGTAAAATTTAAAGAACAGATCACTCACCCATCTAGAGAAGCCGATGTAGCCGCATCCTTCGGTGATACTTGGCCTTGCTCCGGTGCTGCGCCTTTACCACGCAAGGCAGAGACCGCCGCACAGCCAGCCTCCCCACCATGGCCACCCTCCGCCTCCCCACCATGGCCGCTTTGCTCGTTGACAACAGGTTGCCCGCCCCCGCCTCCCCACCATGGCCACCTCGCCCGTCCTCCACGGGTTGGCCGCCCCCCGCCTCCCCACCATGGCCGCCTCGCCCATGGCCCTCGTCCACCTCACCCACCTCCATGCGCTGCCGCTGGGTGCCTCGCCCGCGCCGCCGCTGGGTGCCGCGCTAGGTTTAGGTCTCGGGAGGAGAAGGGGAATCGGGGGGAGATGGGGGAATCGGGGGCAGAAGGGAGGGTTCGTTTTTCTTCTTTTTTTAGCATGCTATAAACCAGGGGTAAATACGACCTTTCCTGTCATAGTTGACGGCGTTAATGGCAAAGAATGACGGAAGTGTCGTGGAAGGAAGAAAATAAAGTTATGGTGTCAAAGACAGAAAAAAATAAATTTTCAGGGCCAAAAAGGGAACCAAAATTTAAGAAAGGGCCAAATAAGAAATTCTCTCTTATATCTGACCGGGATTCAGATCTGATTGGTGTCAGTATACCTCAGACTCAGGATGCCTGAGAAGAAAGGTGCAACACAAATTGTCGGGGTGACAATGTAAGATTCTCGGGAATTGTACTATGGAAGCGAGTTCTGAAACAAGAGTTCATCATTAAGTCAAGGAGAGGTGAGGGGGTGGGTGATTGACTCAGCGACAATTCATTGAGATCTCCAAAAAGATGGATTTCCACAATTAGGTGAACAAGGAGATAACATTAGTCACGATGTATGCTCGAGGAAAACATACACAATTTAACAGATAGAAGCGTGCACCCGGAAATCTGGACTAGGTAGCACTATCAATGTTTGAATGATGATTCAATAAGAAATAGACTTAGAATGAAACTATCAACCATTAAATTCAAAGCAATAGGGTTGCCAGAAGGGCATAATCCAAACAGTAGTACCGTTCACTTGTAGGGGTCCCGGTTAGAATCGACACGGGTGTCGGTGTCAAAACCGGCGGATCTCGGGTAGGGGTCCCAAACTATGTGTCTAAGGCTAATGGTAACAGGAGGCGGGGGACACAATGTTTACCCAGGTTCGGGCCCTCTCTATGGAGGTAATGCCCTACTTCCTGCTTGATTGATCTTGATGAATATGAGTATTACAAGAGTTGATCTACCACGAGATCGTAATGGCTAAACCCTAGAAGTCTAGCCTATGAGATTATGATTGTTACTCTAACCCTAGAAGTCTAAACCCTCCGGTTTATATAGACACCGGGAGGGGCTAGGGTTGTACAAAGTCGGTCACAGAGAAAGGAATCTACATATTCGAATCGCCAAGCTTGCTTTCCACGCTAAGGAGAGTCCGATCCGGACATGGGACGAAGTCTTCTATCTTGTACCTTCATAGCCCAACAGTCCGGCCAATGTATATAGTCCGACTATCTGAGGACCCCTTAGTCCAGGACTCCCTCAGTAGCCCCTGAACCAGGCTTCAATGACGATGAGTCCAACGTACAAATTGTCTTTGGCATTGCAAGGCGGGTTCCTTCTCCGAATACTTCAACATAGTCTTCCGAACACAGGAAACGTGTTCGGCTCTGCAAAACAAGTACCACACACAACCATAGAGAGTATAATATTTCACGAGTCTAATACGTTGACAAATTTTTGTAGCGTGACATCACGCCATCGCCCGGCCATTATTCGAACCGTTTTTTAGCCTACCGCTCCGTATTTCGAGGTGCGGTTTCACTGGCACGTCTTGTCGAAGCAGAGATCGTGTCCCCTTATCACGGGATTCTCATCAATACGGGCATGGGTAACCCAACCGTGTCATCTGCACGGTGCTTGGGGAATAGGCGGATTTTGAGGTGAGCAGGGAGGCGCATAACTTTCACTGCCTTTATAAAGGGATAAGGATTCATCGTCGTTCACCCACGCCTTCTCCTTCCTCTGCCCATCCTTCTCGAGCTCCAGCGCCCAAGCTATAACTTTCTCCGCCCAAAAAAAAGCACTACAATCATGTCCGGATCCGGAGCTGGAGGCAAGTGGATGGCCTCTTCTGTCAAGAAGAAGGACATCAAGGAGCTCCGATAGGCGGGGTATCTGAGCAAGGACATCGCTCATCGACTTCCAGCCAATGGACAGATCGTCCCTACCCCGGAGCCCCAGGAAAGTGTGGTGTTTCTCACTCACTTCGTCCGCGGTCTAGGATTCCCCCTACACCCGTTCGTCCATGGACTGATGTTTTACTACGGGCTAGACTTCCATGGCTTGTCTCCCAACTCCATCCTCAACATCTCTTCATTTATTGTCGTGTGCGAGGCCTTCCTCCGCATCCCACCTCACTTTGGCCTATGGCTGAAGACTTTCAATGTGAAGCCAAAGGTGGTGAGCCGCCAACAAGCGGAGTGCGGAGGTGCCATGGTGGGCCGTCGTCTGGCCCGAAGGCTCCTTTCTGGAGACCGTGAAGGGGTGGAAATCGGGGTGGTTCTACATCACCGAGCCGCGCGGCACCAACTGGGCAGCGGCCCCCGAATTCTGACCCGGAGTGCCAATGCAGCTCACCTCCTGGAAAGAGAAGGGCCTGGCATGGGGCTCTTCGGACGAGCTGATAGGGCTACAGACGTGTGTCAAGAACATGATAAGCAAGAAAATCAAGCTTGTCAATGTGATCCAGGTCATGCTGTTCCGCCGGATCCTTCCATGCCAGCGCCGGACCTGCAATTTGTGGGAGTTTGACCCGACCAAGCACCAGACGCTGCTGGATCTCTTCGGCATGATGCATGAAGACATCTGGAAGATGCTCTTCAAGGCCGACGAGGTACCACCGCCCACGACCGAGGATCGTGGGCTCAACTCAAAATGCCGGGCTAATCCGGTAAGTTCTTTCATGTTTTCAAGGTATATCCTTTACTAGCATATCTGAGGGAGGAATCTAAGCCTCCCTACCAATTTTTCAGGCCTGGGTAGAGATAGTGGGGCAGATTAACTGTCCGACTCCGCTGCCCGAAGATCCAGAAACGCCTCTTCGGATGAAGATGCGGTTTTCGGCACCTTATGAGGTGTCGGATAAGAAGGCCAAGAAAAAGGCCCCCGGGACCAGAAGTGGTTTCCGTCGCAAGGGCACTTCGGGCATGACATCGGAAGACACCGAGACACACTCCTCCATCGAAGACGGCGAGATAGAGGAGGAGGAAGAAAAGATCCACCCCCCTGCTGGGGGGAGAAAGAAGAGGAAGGGATCCACACACGGGGAGGCCGAGGCGTCCAAGAAG